TTCGCAGACTATAACACACCGGTCGTTTAAGCAAGCCGGTTAAGCTGTGAGTCGGTGGTCTGCGGTTTAGTGGGATAGCTTTCTGCTGTTTCTGCCCACGTAGGTAGCCGTCCTTGTCTGTGCGTTAGTTTCAAGTATTGTACTGCGAGGTAGTAGATGAAGCCCTGATTGATCGCGGCCGTGTCTTAATAACCCCAAGACTCACTCTTTTTTTATAAGTACCGGACTTACCGAGTAAATATTCACCGCTGTGCGTTACATGAATATTGATTTTTCAGCTACGAGTGCATGCTTATTTCACAAGAAGTACTCTCTGAAGACTGTTTCACTGGATGTGCGGAGTTGCTCGCAGCTAAACAAATAGGCAGGCGCCGTCTTTCCAGAGCTCTTTTAGTCTAGGAGTTACCTATCGGTTCTCGTCCGTGGGATAAGGATCTTAAACGGACGAATGTAGGAGACTGCCTTGTGTGCTGCGTGAGATCCAAGGAAAGCGAATATACACAATCTTCCCGTTACCCCTTGCCTTTTCACGTTCTCAGTTCTCAATGGTCTTTTTGAAAAATGTGGCCCGACGCCGTAAATGCCTGCTTGCTATAATGTAGGCCTATGCACACTACAGGATGTCCGAAAAAATGTATACACATTTTAAATAATTGTAAACTTGGCGTTTATTATATTTGTGTTATTCCAAAAAATTCAAATATATTCACAAGAATAATTTTATTGTTTTTTTATTGTATGTTCTCGCATCATACAGCGTTGTCATGGGAAAAGTTATATCCAAAGACTAGTCTATGCATGTAATGAAGATGATCTAGACCGAATAGTACAGTATGGCAAATGGTATTTAGAACAATGTCTGGATCAAAATGGACGTCAGTTTGAGAACATGCACTGAAAAAAAACAATCAAATGATACTTTTAAATATATATATTTTTGAAATAATAAAATTATGATAAACGCCAAGTTTACAAATATGTAAAATGTGTATACATTTTTGGGACAATGCGTTGGTTTGTGGATAGGGAGATGCTAGGAGAACCACCTGCTACAATTTATATATGAGACAGGAAAGAAGTGCTTCGAACAAATCCTACTGTGTTCTCGATTAGCTGTATGTCTATCACATCTTCTTGTACCTTGGTTTCGCTCGACTGACTAGTCTTTCTGCTGCCAAAGCATCACCGTTAAGATACATGTTGTTTTGAAAATAATTCTTGGCGCCTTGCCATGTGACGTGTGCCTTTTTATCTTCTCCAGGCCCCAGAGCTCTCTCGCGGTGGCGGCGTTTTCGAAATAAAGGACCTTGAGTTTGACCAATCCGGCTCTTACTTAGCTGTTGCCGGCTCGGATGTTCGCGCCTACCTTTGCAAACAATGGGACGAATTGGCTGTTTTCACGGCGCATACCTCACCCGCCACTGGCGTGCGCTTCGGAGAAAATGCCACAACCATCATCTCCTCTAGTCTGGATCGCTCAATTAAGATTTACGGCCTCCAGGATGATAAAGACTCCCAGGAAGCCATGGACATGTAGTTGCATCTGTTCGATTCCCCTGTCAATATGTGTTGGTGCATTTCCATTGATTCCACCTCCTCTTCCCCATTTTGCATTTTCAATCGAAGTATTTTAACCCGAATGTCATTATTCACCATTTGGTAAGATTATCAGTCTCATTTTTTGACGTTTGTCCATGGCGTCAATCCACAGATCGTGGCGAGCTGGAGCCTGAGCGAGAATCGTCGGCACTTTACTTAAGCGCATGCGATTCGGCCTCTCGCATTAAGTTCTATTTTTCACTTCTCAACATGTCTGTCAAGCGTCTCTCTCCGTTTAGATTATCCTCCCGTCTTTGTGCAAATCTTTAGAGAAAGCGCGCCAACAAGTTGGAGTGGGTAATGAGCCAGTCAGTAAGTCATCTGGTACGAACATTAGGCCGTTCTGCACCACGTGTTTGTCAGAGCGTCGGGG